AAGATATGTTTGGCTTATTTGGATGTGTGTGTTTGGCTTGTTTGTATCCTTGTTTTTGAATGTTTATTTTTCTGGAGATGCTACGAACAAGAATTTGTGAGACTTAAATGTAGGAAGGCTCAGGTAAAAATGTGTCTAGGTACAAGAGGCAGAGTAACAAGCAGTTACCCCAGTTTTAAGAATGGAGGTATTGGAGAATTTTAAGGATGAAGCCAGGGGCTGAGGGACAAAAGACTGATTCCTTTCTGTTCTCATGGATGACAGGTTGCTCATGTGGTGAAATTTGTTGTTTTGGTGATGGCTGGAGTACGCTTGGGTCATCATCATAGAGATGGTGCCTGACTTTGAGTTTCTGTGAGGAGAAGCACAGAGAGTGAATGGATGAAGAAAAGACATAAAGAATGAGACCTATGGAGTGCTATGAACAGAGTAGAGGAGGACAATGATAAGTTTCCAACTCAGAGTACACTGTGGAACACTCAGAGAAATGAGCCCAAACTAGAGCAACAGAAACTGTGAGTTAAGATGACAAGGAAGTGCTGAAAGCTCATTTGTGCCCAAGGCAGCCAAATTATCTGAGAAAGTGAATACGGATGAAGTTCAGAGTTTTGCCAAAAGAGATGTTATTAAGCTTTTATTGAGAGCAGTTTAGTTGAACATGGTGCAGAAGCCAGACCAGAATGATGCCTACAATGAAGCTGAGGGAATGGATCTTTTGGTGAAGATGCCTGAGTTTGCATCAGGAGCCCAGGCAGCCAGCACAAACACTGACTTTGGGGATCTTCAGTAGTCAGCTGGACAAGGATCTGAGCAACCTGCTTTGAGTGCGAGGTTAACGCTGCACTCAGCAGGTTGTGCTGGAGGCCTCCAGAGACCACTTGCAACCTGTATCACTCAGCAGGTTGTTGTATTAACTGACTGACATTGAGGGTGGCAGCAGTTGGAGCAGAAAGCAGTGTTTTGTCATGTTTTGTTAGATGAGAAAGACTGCAGGTGTGAGACTTCTGCAGATTAGGTTTCGTGGAAAAAGACCCTCATATTAGTAGATGATCCTTAACGTTAAGATCTTATTAATTCCTTCTATACCAACCTGCAGAGTTTTGTGCTAATATTTGAATTCTGTGAGCAAAACATTATTATATATTATATTATTATATATAATAATTATTATAACTGCCTTTAAAAATGTATTTATTACTTATTAGTGAACTCATTTTTTCCCTTTTCTGTTGAATAACATTCACCTCTTAACGAGTGTATCTTCATAATAAAGCTTTACCCGTTGTATAGTTGAGAGTTTGTATAGACTATAGAAAGTTTGAAGGTGGAATACACCTATTCATTGGGACATTTCTTTCTTTCATCCAGTTTAACTCTCAGGTATCTGTGATTGATTTATTTTCATCATACCTTCATTTCCTTTCAGTAAATGGAAAATGGAGAATAGCCTTGCTTAGGTAATATTTCAAACTCCTTGAGATATGCAGTGGAAAAGGACTGTGTAAGTGCTAAACCTTCTACTATTTTGCTCTTTTGTTTCTTCTTTTCTGTGTGTGGAGTGGAGAGCACTATGTATATGCATAAATACTTGTATACATATGGCAAGTGTTTTCAAACTGGGAACATGCATATCTGGAAAACCATCTAGTTTCATATTCTACCCTTGTAAAATGTTTTCTAAAGCAGCAGCTTTTATTATTTAACTGTGCTGCAAAAATATGGAATGTGGATAAGTGATTTTGGACAAATGCATACATTCTCAGGGAATATACAATGGACTGCATTAAAGTCTCAAGTAAGTATTCTTCGTAGTCCTTAATCCTGCTCTCCATCTTCCTACCCCTTGAAATGCAAGGGCTTCTAAACAAGCCCAGTAGCTTTTATGGTATGATTCTTCAGGTGCACATCGTCATCTTTCTGGACTTATTATTTTTTACATTCCTCTGAACTTTGGTACTGCTGTTTCTTTAAGCTCCAACAATCCAACAGATTTTTCCCTTCTGGACTCTAGTTGACTTGGACCACTACACTACTATGCACAGGTTGTTTGTCTTGGTGTTCTGTCTGGTCTGCACACACATACAGAGAATCATTCATGTTGAAGTGCAGGAAAGACCTATCCAGTTGTCCGTTGGCCTCTTTTTCTCCACAGAACATTTCCTCATATGCTAGGGGTTTGTCAAGCTTGTGGCTCATTAAAGGCTTCATGCTTTATAAGTGTGACTGAAGATGAACCACTACAATGACAGTAGCATAGTTTTATTCTTTGTTTGCTGGTAAATGTCTGTTGTAAGGAATGAGACTGTTCAGTTTGAAGATCAGTTTTTGTCTCTGAACTACAGCAAGACTGTGGAGGATTAGTTTTTGGCTGGCAACAAGAAAAATTCTTAAAATGCCTAAAGGGTTAACATTGAATGCTAATGTGGTTTTCATACCTAGAAAGTTTTCACTCATCTCTTCAGGAGCTTAACCTCCAGAATATGACAATGTACAATTGCTGGGGATAGTCTTGTTGCCTTACTGTAAAGTCACATTCTTGAATGGTTAAGATTGAGAGCTTTTACTGAGTCATCGAAGACTCGTACATTTTGCACAATCCAAACATTAGCTCTTTCAATGAGAGATGTCATCGATGAAGGGCATAAGGCAATATAAAGGCCGTAGAGATGAAGGGTTGTCTAGTTTATGTAAAACATGATCATCTGATAAATTAATCAGTAAAATTTTAATTTAAAAATTCTTCAGTTCTGTTTTTCCTGAGCACACAGGCAGGAGAGAGGAAGTGCTTTCTTTCTGCCTTATTTGAAAATATATCCAGAACTGTCTGTAAGACTTGAATCTAACTAATAATTTCTTTGTTCTTGCCGTAAGAAGTAGTTTTCAGAATCTCAGCATCACTGTCTCATAACATCTAAGTTTTTTTCCTCTTGATCACATAATCAGGTATTAAACATGTACCTTCTTTGGCTTGTATACGTTACATATTCTTTAAGGGTATTTTTATAGTCTTGTTCTTTGATAAAAGCAAGGCATGTCTTTGGTTTAATTGAAAGTCAGGAATTTTGCTTTGAACCTGAAATACTGTTTGGAATGCTATATATCCATCATATAGAAGAGGATATTGCTTCTGGCTAAAAAAAAAAGTAAAATTCATTGGTGAATATTGCCTGCTTTGTTTTTCACTTGTATTGGGGGTAAGCAAAAATTCATGTCATTGCTTTATGTGTGAAACATTTTATAGAGTTCTATTTGTTCTTAATCCAAATGCAAAGTTTGCATCCTGAGAAAATGTAAACTGGAATAAGAATTTCAAAGTGGAAGAAAAGGTCACTTTGCCATGTCAAGCAGACCTATGTAGGAAGAGCTGTGTCTGAGCTTGGTGAGTGTTTTTTTGGTTGTGGGTTTTTTTGTTGAGTTTTTCTTTTTTTTCTTTTTTCTGTTATGGCAGGGAATTGTGTGGAGATCTTGATGGTGACATTACTTGGCAAACAATTTGGAATCAGCTCAACAAGTGACATCACACTTAAAATACATCCTCCAAAAAAAAAAAAAAGAGACTTAATCTGAAATCTATTATTGTATCCTCTAAGGGCTCTTTAAGCACCTCAGCATTCCCCCTCTTCCCACCATTTTCCAGACAACTTGACTAAAAGTAGCAGACAATAGTGGTAAATGCTTTCCAGTCTTCTTGGGAATGGGAACAGAGATGGGGCAGAGGGGGAGGGATAGAGGGATATAGAGAGGGGACAGGGAAGAGAGTTTTAATCCCATGTCTATCCTATTCAAAAAAAATAAATTACTCCAGTGCTTAGTCTTTTCCTCTGTGCAGCTTTTCACAGTGTGAGGACATTGTCTGAGGTAACATTTTGCCACTCTTAGCAAGTGGAGTTGTCTAGCTCTGCCTCTAAAAGAAGAATGTCTCAGATTTTGAGGAGCAGACAGCAGAGATGAAAACTTCCCTTGATCTCAGGGTTTGGTACCTGATTGATGATGATTCCCAAGAACAGTTCCCAGTATGTCCTTTTCTCTGTGTGCCTATGCTTGCCTGCATCCGTACCCATTTTTCTGAGAATCAAAGCGCTTTCTTCCCCAGCTGCGAGCCATAAATCCGGCTGTGTGCTCCGTGTGTACTGCCTTTGATAGAAGTGCAGGAGAGAGGTGCAGCACACAGGGTAAATGATGCCAGAATACGTAGAACATGATGTTATCCAGGCCAAGCAAAGGAAGAATTATCTATGCATAATGTGAGTTTAGACTAGGCTTGACGTTCTCACACCCAAACATTTCCATCTGTTCCTAAGCAAAAGGAAACTGAGACAATATTCTCCTATCTTCTGGGCTAGCTATACAGGGAATAGGAAATGTTACTTGATTTTTTTTTTCCTTATGATGTGTTCAGTTTTATTGCAGATTCAGAGAAGTCGCAGTATTAAGTGACTTCTTTTAAAGGTAGTAAATGACATTAAATTCTTCTTAATTCTTCTGAGAATTGATATTGAAACTGTAACACTGTACTTAAATAAACTGTGGCACTTTTAGGTTATTCTTAAAAAACAAAGCTGTTTTTATGGGTTTTATGCTAACCCTGATGCGAGACCTTTGTCATTCTTACTTTCAATGCTTTCTGGAAATTATCCTCTGCCTTTGCTTTCTCTCTATGTATTTCTATGTTTTGTCCATATATCTACTTTTCCTTGTGTCTTTTCCTTCTACCATGAAAGGCTGCATGCCTGATGACGTGTTCTGTTCCTTACATACTATAGTGTGTACCAAGCTTTTCAGTCACACTGAAAGGTTCACCTGCTTCCTGTTGATTATAACATCATACATCTGCATGTTTCCCTGGATTTTTGCAGTGTAACATCCTTGGCGTCCTGCAGCAGTGCTGAAAAATCTGCCAACCGTTTGACCTACCTTGCTGGCTGATGGAGATGTAGACATTATTGTTTGTTAGAAGTCACAATGTTATGTCATAACTAACATAACATCAGTTATATTTTCACAGCTGAACTCTCAAAATACAATTCTGCAAATACGTCAGATTTTTAGTGGATGCAAAATAAGAGAGCAGAGATTCTTAGATGTAATGCAAAATTGTACATACTTCTTAGTACTGAGGTAAGAGGTAACGTTACCTTTCACATTCTTGTTCCAGCAAGTTTGTAAACTCATCACTTTTTTCCATGTATTTGCTGTGCTTCCTCTTCTCTTCCTCTAGTTCATACAGTGTCTGTCTGTGCGCTTTTTCTACCATTAGAAATTGTTCCAGCATTCTTCTGTGAACTTCTTTCTGTTTCTCTACAACTTTATCAAGCTGCAAAAAAAGGGAAAACTCCTGAAGTATTTTGAAACTTTTTCTTTCTTGGGCTTTCATTACTAAAAGAATTTTGAGAGCAGCTTAATAATATAGTAATAGTAAGCTTAGTTGCAAGGTTCATCTGGTATCAGTTTAATTCTGTCAGTCTAATCCCAAAAAAATTAGAAAAATAAGGTACTGTTTTTCAGGACCCTCAGTCACCTTCCTTTCCTCTTCTTGCCATGAGGGATCCTCAACTTTTTTTAGCTAGGTAACAGTTACTGTTCCTAAGGTTGTGCTTTTCTCATTGATCACTGTGGTAGAGAACCAGATGACGTGGCAGAAGAAGCATCATCCAGTGCTTCACACAGTGGATGAGTGACTTTTGGTTGAATAGAAATAGCTGCCTTACTTATAGCTGCCTAGGAAATAAGAACATTAAATTGTTTTTGTAAGGTAGAGGTAGATCAAAAAGCAGTTTTCTGGTTTCACAGTAAATGCATGGTTGTGCCAAGAGTGCAAACCAATCCTGTCTCTTGTGCTTACTCTGAGCAAGGCTCTGGGTTTCTGGAATAAATAAGTGCTGAATTTTGTAATAGTTAGAAGTATTTCTTTTTAATAGTGGCATTTCCAGTTATGTTCCTCAGATTGCATGTGTTGTTGAGGTCTTTGTCTTTCAGATGGCACCTTTATAGCACGGTTTGAGCATAAAATTCCCTTCCCTTCCTCAAGGATTTCTGTTTATCAGAATCATTAAGGTTGGAAAAGACCTTCAAGATCAAGTCAAATTTTTGACCAAACACCATCATGCCAATTAAACCATAGTGCTGTCATGCCCAGTCATCTCTTGAACACATTCAGGGATGGTGACTCCACCACCTCCCTGGGCAGTCCATTCCAATGACCATTCTTCCAGTGAAAAACTTTCAGTTTTTCTAAATATTACTATATAGTGGTATTTTAATAGAAATAATCTGTTTTAGCTTTTGGCAATAATTTTTAATTTTCCTAAACCACTGAGGTATTGGCATAACTGTTCACTAGACTTACACTGTTAAAGTAACTCCACAAACTTAGAGAAAACTGATTCTGAAGATTCTGTTACAATTTTGAGTTCAGTGTGTGACAGAATTGTGCAAGTGTGTGTATGAAACCATGAGTGGTTTTCCTCTTTGGGCATTACTGATCTAGCTGAAGTTTCAGGGAGGATCACTGAATTGAAACCATCAAAATGTCTGGGAAGAGTCTGTATTTGTGATCAACTTTGTTCCCTGCTTGATGTCATTTGGAGACTGCCTCCCTCATCAGGTCAACATAGGAATCCTCGTGTCCTTTTTGGAAAAGAGAAATTTTGAGCTCACAGCCTAGTGCCTCCTTTTAACCGCAGACTATTCTAGTAGGTCAATCTGATTGTAGTGTTTCACTCTATTAATAGGAAAGAATTCACAAATGGGTAGTGTGGGAAGAAAAGCTATTTCTAGTTCTCTGATGTTTCCCCCACAAGGAATTATATGTGCCACAAGAAACACTGGGGTTTCAGATTCTTAGGGCCACTGCTTTTGGACAATTTAATTTCAGGGAGTATGATTAATTATCTTTTCCTCATGTTTATTCACAGTTTGGCCAATAGAAATGGTGACAGGGAGAGCCAGAATGCCTATACATGAGTTTCTTGAATGAGTGAGGATATCACCAGTTTCTTCTTAGGTTTCCAAGTCTCCCTCTGCTTATCTCAGCTTCTTTTAAAGCTTATATATTCTCTGTGTTCCACCTAAATAATTGTTAACCTTTTGTTGACACTGCTAAGAATGAAGAAAAAGGAGCTATTGACAAGGCTTTGAAGATGGTTTGAGTCCAGAACATTCCAACAAAAATGTGAACCATTTTTTAGAACTCCCTGCACTTTCTACTTACGGTAATTAGAGAGTTTTGTCTTTTGTAACATAGCTGAGCTTGTTTCATGCATGATCAAGAAATATGAAGAAACTGGTGATTATTTGTTTTGGTGCTATTTTGTGGTGCTCTTACAGCAGATCATTAAGGTTTTTTTATCTTGTTCACTGATATTTTGTATGCTTTACCCTAGCAAGGTGGTTGCTTTCTGGAATCACAGTCCTGAAGCAGGACCTCCCCTGGAAAAATATTTCTTACCTAAACCCTTGCATATGCAATCTCTCTTAGTAAGCAAGAGTCGCCTTATACAGGAATCTTCTGGCTGTGCTTTCTCTATCTTTCAAAGCAGTTGAAAACTGGATTACCTTAAAAGGTCAGGTTGAGGAAAACTATCCATTTTAATTTCTTCACACTCTCCCTTATTTTACCAGAAGTGGAAATTTTAAAAATTGAAATCTGTTGTTTAGCTTCTAACTTACCAGAAAGATGTTTCATTAATCTTCCCCCACCCAAAATTTCAGACGGGTTTTTGAAACAGGTATTACAGATGCATGAAGTGGCATCGCCTAAGTTTCTAATCCTTGTCTTTTTAAAGATGATGCTGTCAGGTGAATATGCACTGTTGTCAGAAAGCAGTCAGGCTCCTGATTTTTGACAAAGTTCTGATGCAGTGCTGCTGGCAACTATGGCTCTGTTTTGCTTAAATTAATCTGAACTGGGCATCATCTTTCCACAAGTGCCTGCTGGTCTCAGCCCTCAGTGTGAGGTCAGGCAAGCTGCATGGGTGTAGTTAAGAAAGTAGAGGCATTTGTGTGGTTTGAACCACCACTTTGAAAAAGTATATGTAAAAATCTGAGGGGGTATGTAAATTGCTGTCATAAGAAAGCACTGACATTTCTGGCTACAAGCTGATCATAAATGAGATAATCCTGTTTCTGAACATGTAAATGCTTGATTGAGATGAGGGTTAGTCATCAGCCAAGCAACATTAACCAAGTATAAAATAGTCCTGCTTCTTGCACAGTTTGGTGCAAAGGATGTGGAACCTGCCAGGAGGGTTTTATATGTTCGGTATATTTTGTTTGCTCTAGAGTACTGGTTGAATGGCTACAAGAGGTTAATTCAAGCAGTAACTAAGCAGCATATATGCAAAATTAAAAGTTCTTAATTCCAGGGTTTTGTTTTATAGCTCTCTGTACTTTACACTTCACAGTAGCATATTTGTCACTGTTGAGATTACAACAGTTTGGATTACAAACTGGTGTTTGGGGTGGCTGAAGTGTATATTCAAGGCAGGGAGTTGGAACAAAGAATGGGAAGAATAGTGTCTTGAGGAGACCTGCTCACATAAAAAAGTAAATAAGATGCTGTATTAAAGCAGTTTGCAGTTTTCTCCTATTGCTGGGACCAGAAGATGCATTTCTGTTTCTTTTAAGCATGTTGTCAAATCATTTCTACTGTGAGCATTTGGCTGTTATGGCTAAGAACAAGGTGGAGAGTGTGAGCTCAAGAGGGAAGGGAAGAAGTGCTGGGACTGTTTCCTGGTACAGGTGGGTCATAAAGGAGAGAAACTGAGAGACAGCAATCCTACATCACAATTAATGCACACACTTGAGGTCTGCATGTGAGATATGTAACGGGAACCGGCATTTGGCCTCGACACTTGTGTGTCCCTGTGCAGCACACCATTCTCTCACTGCATGACCACACAGAGCTGAGCCTGGGACTGGGTTGCTGCACTTCCATGTGGTTTGTTGAGAAAATGATGTGTCCCTCTGCAAGATAAGGGCACCTCCCCGGAGAGCAAATTTGACTCTTGCATTTTCCCTGTGAGATCCTGTGGCTGACTCCCACATCCAGCAGAGAAGAGAGAGAAGTCGTGTGAACCCCTGCTGGTGTGAGATCCTCACATGGAAGTGTCTCCAACAGCCCCAGGTTCCTCAGATTATTCTGGCCAAATGCTAGATCTGCCCATGCAGAAATACCCATTTATATGCATGCGCACAAGTTTACTCAGCCTACACAGTTCTTAGCTAAAAACCACAGAGCACTAATAAGCAGCAGGATAAATGTCTTCTGTTGAAAATTAAAGTGATAAAATCTTAATTAAGTGATTTGTTGTTTTGTTCTTGGTAACCATATGGGCTTTTTGCTAGAGTTACAGGCTGTACAATATAACGGAAAATCAGAGGCGTAGCCTTACATAACTGTGAATAGTTGAACAAGCTAAACATTCATATGAATGTAATAGTTTAACAACATTTTGCCACTAACTCTTGACTGAAGTCAAACTAGGATGGTATATGTCATATCCACTACATCAGAACTTAGCTCTTCATCTTTCTCTTTTTAGATTGTTTTGTGTTTGGTGATATGCTAGAAGAAAATCAGGGTAGTTGCATTTTTTATCCCAAATTCAGTGTGATATTATTCCTGTTAACAGTATCCTCTCAGTCATTGTTTATAAATGTATAATCCTGAGTTTAGGATTACCAGAGATTATGGGAGCAATTCTTCCCTTGCCTTTTTCAACCCGAGCTGAGCCAAATTTCCATGTTCGTGGAATATGTTGGTGGTCTTCTCCTGAATGTCACCTTGTCAGCGCTGTTATTCAATGTCTTCCTGTGACAAACGTATTGGTGCTCTACAGCTGTGATCCTCGGGAAGTTTTTACCAACACTTAGCAGATGTTGTGAGGACACAATCAGATAGACTTTGTTAAAATACTGATGAGGGTGCATCTTTCCTCCAGGTGATTGGCAACGGGATTTCAAAAATGGATTCAATTTTTAATTATCCTTGATGGATGCAAAATGCAGGCTGTCCTCTCATTTCACATATTTAGAGGAGCTCTCAAAGTGGAAAGTGATTAATCATATTTTGAACAGAGAAGCACATGATTCTTTTAATCTTTGGCTGTATTACTGGGAGAGTTAGAAACCAGAATCTGCTTTCTGATACCACGAAGAGAAGAGAAAAAGACATCACAAATTCTGCAATGTCTTCATCTTTATCTCTCTTTTCCTACATCACCATCTCTTGATTTTTTGATTCCTTTAAAAACATACTGTTTATTTTTGAATCTGGGAAAATTGTTCTTACATTGTTATTATGAATTTACTGAAATGTTGAATACTCTTCATTTTCTATTCAAGAGAAGTGATGATTTATCTGAAGACAGATTTTTTTCACAAAAACTGACTACTTCTAACTTTATAAACCACACAGAAATGGAAAACCTTTTCAGGCCTTTGAGTCAGAAACAAAACCAAAATAAAAATCTAATTTCTTTTATGGTCCTCAAATGTGAATGCTAACAGTAATCTTATCTGACATTTTTTAGGTTGCAGAAAGAAATAGCTGTAGAACAAGTTTGATTAAAAAACCCTATTTTCTGAAAGAAATTTAGTATCTCCTCATGAACAAAGAAGAAATGGTTTTCATCTGTCACACTTCTCATTGGTTTTGCAGAGGAAAATGTATTAATACTGCTTTCTAATTTGCTACATTTCTTCCCCTATGAATCCTGTTCCTAATGAGTAAAGTTATCCAGCCACCAAATTTTCCCACTATATTCTTAATCAAATTGGCCAAGAAGCTTTATGTTTAGAATAGGTAAGAGAATTGTGAGAGAATGGTAAAGGACTCAAAATCTTACAGTTGCCTTCTGAAATTAATTGTAATTTCACTTGAGTTTGGGAAGATTCTCTGTGTTCAGAGCTACCAGGCAAAACTCTCAAGGATGAGATGCACATGCAGATACAAAGGAACTTGTCCTAGTAGCAAAGGTGGGAATTTAAATGGTCTGTTCCTGGACTTTGTGGCTGGTTCCACCTCTCCTTTAGTTTTTATATGTGTTTTAAAAATACAAAAAAAGAGGAAAAAAAAACCCACCAAAAAAACCCAAAAATGGATCTCTGATATAATTCAAGGGGATTTTGAAACTGAAATTGTGGAATGCCTATTACAGCATCCTTTGGTTTACCAAGACCAAGAAGTGGCAGTGGTCCTTCTACCCTTTCAGTTGCTCTCAGGAGGTTTACCTTTGCCCTTTGAAATTGCCAAAACCAGCAGTGCTAGAAAGGATTTCTCTTCCATTAAGTGTAAGAAGCAAAGAGTGTGTATAAACTTACGTAAAGTAACAAACTGAGCTTATGTTTTCAAACTATTTTGGACTTCTCCTCAAATCATTTCCATCATTTGTATTCAAAGTTTCTGTGGCATAATACCACAATGTTCTAAAATAAATTAAGCTTCACAGATGAACTTTATGTTTCGGATTATATCCAGAGATTTTAGCCTTTGAGCTTCTGAAATGAGAGTTGACCTTTTGCCTGACATAACTCTGTCTGGAATGATCTCTGTGTCCTTAGGTACATTTCTGTTCAAAAACTTGGAAAACACTTGGTAGGAGAATTTTATTAATAATTTCTGCTTTTATTTTCTGATATTTATCTATACTGAGCAGTATGTTAAAAAACATTTATCTGAATTGAAGACAACTACCTGGGATAAAAAAACAGAATCTGATGTGAAAGTGTTTTAATATCCAGTGAGCTCATTATAGTAACTCTCCAGACCAAGCAGGTGTCCCCATGGCTGCTCCCAAATTAATGGGAGCAGGGACATGCAGAAGTGCACAGCTGTGTCATTGCTGCAGCCACTGGCAAGATGGACTTCCATGAGACAAGTGGGGACTGGCGAGGCTTCTGCTTGTGTGGGCCAGGAATATGGATAACAGAAAGAGGGAAAAAGAAAAAGAAGATTGTTTTAATGAGACAAAATCATGCCTGTCGATGTGTAAAGCCCCCATTTTGCAGTGTAAGTTAGGATCATTAGATTCAGGTCCCATCTGGACCCTGGACTTTGTTCTGCTCCCACTTGCACTCATGTTCCATTCCAGGTTTAGAACTCATTTGTCTCCTTCCCCAGCAGTGGGTGAGAGATTTTCTGTTGAATTTGGTGGGAACTACGGTTAAATATCAATTACTCATTCTTACCTCTCCCATAGGCTTTTCATAGATATCTTCTTGCCATTGCTCAGCCTTTGTTTGAATAGCATCTCGCTGGAGTGCCTCTAACACCTTCTTGGGAGTAACAAAGCCATACTGTGCTTCAAGCAAAGCTAAGTCAATTTTTTCAGCCTTCAGTACTCCTATGACTTCATCTTGAGCCTGCAGAAACACAAAGTAAGGCTTTATCTTGTTAAACTGTATATATGCATTTACAGGTTAGCTCCCTGCTTTTGATTTTAAAACTTCTAAAATAACACTGTGTTTGTAAAGTGCTCCAAAACAGTCAGTAATGTGAAGACAGTTGAAAAGCATGAGGGAAGTATTGGCTCTTTGTATTTTATTAGTTCAACATAAAGTCCAGGATCTTCAGACCCTTCATCAAAGCTTAAGTACTTCTTTAATGCTTAGATCGTTTTGCTGTTTCTGGACCAGTGTGTAGCATTCATAAGACAAAGTTTCAGGGCAAAGTTCAGCTTGTGGTATTAGAAATTGACTTGTTAATGCAGGATGTTGGGATGTTTCTTGAAGCCTGAAAATGTTGCACATTCTGTATATTTTGGGTGTAAATGGCTTCTGTAGCTTAAACCCTCTACAGATGTGTCCTTGAGTTTTCTCCCCCCACTCTGCATCCTCTGGTGGTGAAGGTTGCCCCCTGCCTCCATTGCAGTGATGCAGACTACACGAACTGTCTCAAACATCCATTGTCTGCAATTACCTCCGTTAAAAACAAGTATGTGCTAATCTTAGAAGGATAGAATAGGAAAGAAGGAAATCAAAAAGGATATACCAGGGGAGGGCAACACTTCTAGTTTGACTCCTTTTGGTTGGAAGACTTCTGTGTCCCCATTTATGACTGTGTGTGACACCGGAATTTAACAAATGTTAAAATATGAAACAGACTATTTCTAATCCTTAGCATTGCAGGAAAAAATAGAAGAGTGATCTTTGTACATCTTGAATGTTCTGGAATTTGGGAAGGAATGACATCTAAATTAGAAACTTAGTTATGGTTTGATTGACAGCTGATCTTCAGCAATTTGACTTGGCATTACAGGAGGTTGAAAATAAGGGATAAAAGATGGTTTCTTTTTCATTCATAGTCCTGCTTCCTTTTAAATTTCAGATGTGATTTTAAATGTTCATGTCAGGCTCATTGTTTTCCAGTTTCTCATTTCCATCTTCCAGCTTTAAACCTTATTTGAAGTGCATGTGTGTGTATATATTTATATTTTTATATTCATATGATGCACGTGTAATAAACACTGTGTGCATAATATAAATAAATATATTACAATGTGTGACACCTGAATTTTAACCTAAATTAAGAAAGGCCAATTGGGCAGGAGAGAAATGTTTTGCAAACATGGAAATTGTTCTGTTTGCATAATGAAACAATCTGTAGAAGTTTGCCTTGGATCTACCCTCAAAGATTGGTGCAGCTATTAAATATTCATATCACATGTGTGTTCTGTTAAGCATGTATGTATTATTATATAAACATACACACATATGTTAAGAATACAGCTACCCAGGTACTGTCTAAGTAATAAACTCTGACACCATGTGCTACACCCATTTAGGCCACTTTGGCCAGTTTGCTTTTTTCTCTGCCTGTGCGTGGTTTTAAAGTCATTGCTTCTGTGCAATAAGCCTGCCACAGAAATATTTTTCCTGCTCACTGGAAATCTGGTTCCCGCTTCCTGAAATTACATTTGACCAGGTTAGGCATCATTTACCACTTGACAGATGGTTCCTTTTCTAGGTAGAAAAATGCTCACTCTTAAAATCCAGTAACTTGTGGGCTAAGTGGCATGTAACACTTTTGCTTTTTATTATGGGAAATAAAATGCTTGTTTTGATTTTCCTAGCAAGAAGTGTTAGAAATACTGTTAAATGAGTTACTTTTTGTGAGGTGGCACTGTTTCATGGGGAGTAAAGCTCATGACTTCATAGGAGTGGGAGAATAAGACATAATCAAGTAAAATATCATAAAGATCTGCAATATGTTCTCCATATCAACCATACAATGACAAACAATTTGTATTCAAGATACTTAGAATGGGGCGGCACAACTAGAAAGTTTTGTGAGTTGTCTGCTTTGAGAGTTACTTGTGATGTAAAGATCATGTTTCCTGTCTGATAGCTACAATAGCTATAATGTTGGGGTGTTTTGTATGCTGCAGTTCATATTTGTCCTGTATCAAACTGTGTAAGGTGTTTCCTTAACATAAAAGCAGCATGTGTTTGTGGTGGAGGGGGGAATGGGGGTGGAGAGTGGAGTGTCTTTTAATTTGGAATATAAAGTAGAACAATACATTACCTGTAATTCACCCTCGAGGACACTGAGAAGAAATAGCAAGTCATCACGAGAGAGATCCTCCCTTTTCTTGACAGAACTTTTTTGGTTTTTCTCTGCCTTTGGACTTCTCAGGATGGTACTGGGTTGGGCTACATCATCCTTCTCTTTCTGCTGTGTTTGTGCTTTTCCTTTCCCACTGTAACCAACTGCTTCTTTGTGGTGGTCTTTCGCCCTCAGCTGGCTCACCTTTGGTCTGGTTGGGCTTTCGGTGCTGTTACCTCTGGAATGCATGGTTTATATCTCTGAAGGTGAGGGAAATTGGGGAGAAAAATAATTGTTTTAGCTAACAGACTAGAGAAAAAATAATTGTTTTAGCTAGAGACTATAAAACTATTACTATAATTGATGGTGGGTGTTATTCCCTCCAGAATGGTAATTCTCCTGTCCACACAGGGCTGTTTGTCATTTGAAAAAAGCTGACACCTTGTGCAAACCAGCAGTACTGGGCTGTGATCCTTACTGGATGTCTGTAGTGAAGTGAGTCTTTACTGGTCTTATGCAGAATTCCCTTCTTGATACTTCAAAGGTGTCATCTTTCGCAGCAGCCCTGGGTGAATCACTGCAAACCTTGTTTCCTATTTTGTGACAAGGCCTACCTCACCTTTCAGGTAGATATGTATTATGATGAGGCAGATTTAGCTTCAGAGGCTTTTCACAGGGAGGATTTTTCTGTTCCACTTTAATAGTGGCCCATCCTACACTGTGTTCTGTTTTCCTTTGTCTTTCCAAGAGAGAGCACGAAAGCATTCCTCCACAACTACAAGCTACCAAGGCTGCATTATCCATGTTTGGCAAAATACAGGGACTAACAAACACATCCAGACTGCAAGAAGCGAGCAGCACTGTAAATGCTCCCTCCCCAACACCAGCACCACTGAAACTACCTTGCAGATCATGACTTGTCTCTTAAAACCATGCAGTATAAAACCCTGCTACCTAACTTCTTTAGTGCTTGAATCCAGCACTCCAGAGGTGTTAGTACCTGGTGAAAGGGAGACTTATCCTAACTAGGCCCCTTTGAAGTGCCACTGTTAAGGAAACATACTCTAATGTCTTTGCAGATAAATGACTAACACTGTGTAAATATTGATTAACCTCAGGAACTTGTGTTTTGGTTATCACCACTCAGATTAAGGAATGTAGTCCACCTCTGCTGGAAAATTGTGGTAACGGATAGCATCTAGCAAACAATAACCTGATTGTGTGATTCAAAGGTGAAATTCAACGTGTTCCAAATACAAATAAGGGACCATTTTTCTCATTAAGCTGCCAAGCTAATTGCTGAAAAGTCCAGAAAATCATTATGGTCCATGATAGGCACTAGATTATTTCTTAGCTGCTTTTTTGCCTCAATTCTCTGGCTGATAAAATTATTTGAGAGCCTCCTCCCCTACTCTCTTCTCTTCTGGATTCTGACTCTAAATCTTAAACTCTATGACTGCACTTCTTAACTGTGGTAACTTTCCACTGAATGCTAAGAATGCTTCCTTTTGTTGTTTTTCTGCAAGACCAGAGGAGGTGGAAGTAGCTTTTGGTTTATAATGGATGATGACTGAGAGTGGGGTGAATTGATCAAAAACCCTACAAAAAAGAAAGTGACATTTTTTATAATGTTGAAGTCTCTTCTAGTCTGATTTGAAGCACTCATTAATAAGAAAAACTTGTTTCTCCAGGTCTCAGAAAACTAAGGCGTGTCAGATTTGCATGGCAGTGTGCACTGGGAACTGTTTTGTAAAGCATCAACAGTGTCACATTAGGATGGGAACTTATCATAGTGTAGAAAACCAAGAGTTGTTCATAGCAGACTGGCAGCAATGCTAGCTGGTGATGATTACTTTTATTTGGTGTTCATCCTGGCGTTTCAGTCGAATGCAGATTCTCTTTACTCACGGTGGTGTGATTATTAGAATACTTACCTTTTGCCCCTTGCTTACAGATTATTATTACTTGGTAAGGAGGCTTTTGGTTTCCTTTGAGTGTAAGATGCTGGATGCCTGCTTGGCTTTTGTGTGCTGTTAAAGGCTCATGCTTTTAAGTTCAAGTGTAGGAGTTGTGAGCAGTGTAACTGCTGGTGGAGCAAGCAAAGTGTGGGACCTCGGATGGACAAAATCAAACATCCCATCCACCTACCCTGAAACTCCTCATCACCTTCAAATTGTCAGACTCCCTAGATGTGCCACCACCTATGGGACTCATCTTCAAAACACACCTGACATTTTGGGCAGAACATAAGCTACTCATGCCCTTGAACCATGGCACAAAAGAGAAAACATCCATTCTGTTCTAGAGGGTGCTGGTTTTCTGCGATGTTATTAGACCCTGGAATGACCATAATGAGACATTTAAGACCAAAGTAGCATAACTCGAAATTTTTCACCAGTGTGTTTTGGTACACTGGGTTATTTTCTGTTTTGAGCAACTCTTTCCCTGTTCTTGAAAGGTTGATAAAGAGCAATGTTTATTTTGTTGGCTTTTTTTCCCACAAGGTAAAAATGTTAATAGACCCATAAAATTTATTAGTATCATTAATGTTGTTCATGGCACACAAAAGAGTGAGCCCAGGTTCTCAAGATTAGACCAATGAGGGTAAATTTTACCTTTTTGCATATCTGTCTCAACCAATAGTAACATTCTGTAATGATGGCATCTGTGTACAAGAAAGCTGTCTTGCAGAAAAGAGGTACAAAAAAGTGCTTTTTCTTGTAGCAGAGTTTGTCATTCACAGAGGCTCTGAGATTTCTCCTGGAGAGCTGACTCTTGCGTCTTGTGGCAAACTTTTGTGTAGAAGTTAACTTAAGCCCTTTTTCTCTGTACCACCAGGAAGGATGACAGGATAAGATGCCTTAGAAAACAGTAAACAACAATTGCTAAAAATGAATTGATTGTGTGTCTGTGCCTTGCACTTGTGATCTTTCATCTGTTTTGGCTCAATTACTAAACAGCAGGGATTGTAGCTATGTAAACAGAAGAAGCAAGAATACTTGCCAGAATTCTCACATGATGCATTATGTACCATTGCTTGCATCAAAATTAAAAGAAGATTGAAAGGGAGTATCCAGATCATGAAGTCACATGTCTTGAAATGACAGACCACTGTGCTGTGGGTACTTAACAGAGATTAGTTTACCGTAATTGTGCTAATGCAATAACACAAGACCCGTGTTCTGCCCTATTGTGCTTTCCTTCACGTTATGACATGCCTGTTGACAGAAAAATTTGCACTGGTATTCTGCTTGAAGTGACAATGTAGTGGTTCCCAAGCTCATCAGATTTGTGCAGCTTGGTAGGCTGGGTCCAGATTCTAAGAGGAATGAGATTGGGTTACACTGAAACATTCTGATAAATCAAATAATTGCAAGTAAGAGACCCAGCAAAGTTTGCACCTATTCTTAGTGTTCTACGTTCTTTTCTTTTTACAATTTATTTTCTGTTCTGTTTTTTAAAGATCTTACTCATCTCTGAACTGAATGCTGTCCTTCTGCATATAAAGGAGGTATTTTCTTTTCTTGGTGATGAACAGGCAATCTGAAGTGTCAAAATATACTTTCCTTAAGAGCCAGGTGAATAAAGGACCAAATGTTTCTATGATGTTAACTTGGTCTCCACCACCTCAATCATATTCTGAAGGAGATTAAACTGCATTTGTCTCTTTGGCAGCAGTGAATTAGCAAGTGGTTCCAAAATCCCTGCACTTCTGTGGGAAAGACTGAAATATCCTTCAGAGATGGCTTCATCTTAGAGTTTTAAGAGGTATTTTGGCATTTATTTTCACCTTTAGTGTTTTCCTTTTTAGTCAGTGATTGATTTATGAGTAACAGAATCCGTCACAGGACTACATATTCCATTAATCCCAGGATAAGGACCTTGAATTGTTAAGAACTTGCTGCTGTTCCCTTCAAAAATCCGTGACTAAGCAAGGAATTATGTCCCTCTGCTTTTTAGCATCCCTTAAAGGGCAGTGCTTTTGATTTGCTGAAATGAGTAGTATTCCTACCAACAGACTGACTTTTGAAAGGAGTTGAGATCTGATTGCCTGGCATACCAATGTTATGGGAGAGTGAAAAGCACATGATGTCTTTGCGAAGAGGTCTGCAATCCTCTGCCCATCACTGTAAGTGTGGATTTGGGCAAGAAGAAAAGGAGTCCCACAAAGGTTTGTCTTGTTCTTCTTTTGCAGTCCTGGCATGGCCTTTAGACCAGCAAATGCATTTACTAAACTGGGGTAGAACATTAAAAAGTCTTTTTAATAATTAGAATCCCAGGATCTGGCCATTTCACATCATCACTGAGCCTTTCTTGGAACTGGTGCCTTCTGACATAATGCGTTTAGGACTTTTATTCTTCTCCTAAGTAGAAATATGTTGCTTGTGGTAGATTTGCCTCAATTGCAAAGAAAAAAAACCTTCCTTTTGGGTAGACTTCATTAGTGTTTTCCTGAAAACCGTTTGAAGTGGCTTCTGTCCAGGGGGATGTTCTATTCAGAAGAATGGTCTGTGCCATGACCAGCTATTATTTGAGCTCAGTAGACATTGTGCTGTTTTGGTACAGAGGATGGTCATTCAGCAGAAAGAGATTCCTTTAGCACGTTCTTCACTCAGGGAATGTGAGATAAGTGTTTCCATCCTGGCAGGGAAATGGCAAGATGAAGCCATTTTTCTGGGAAGACTAATAGCAAGAGTGCTTACCTGTGTATCCTGATGCATCTGTTGGCATGCAGAGGTGCAGGAAGTCAAGCAGCAGAAAGAAAATAAATTATCAGCCTGTTTCCCCACTCACAGGATCTTGTCAGATTTTGGTCTTTGAAGCTCTTGGGTATCCTGCAAGAACAGCAATAACTCAAATGGGAAGAAAGTCTGGATTCAGCCAAGGATGTGAACACTCTCAGACAGGAAAAGTGCATGGGTGAGAACTGGACATCATTTTTGTGCTGGTTGTGGTTTATGTTCATCTAACCACAAGCAAAATTCCTCATCCCTTGGCTACAGGGAGCCTCTTTTGAGACAGCAAGATACCTTTTGAACCATGTTAGCGTTGTCATGGTACTCTGCTTGCAGTAAAGGTACTGTGAAATTTCCACCATCTGCTGTCTCCTCTTCCTCCCCCATCCAGTCCTGTAGTGTTTTGCAGGATGTGTTGTGAGTGTGGTAGCTAAGATCTTCCCAGGTCCATTTTGCATATGTGCAGGCTTGCAGTCATCTTTAGAAGGCCAAGTCTGTGTGGGCAGTTTTGACCAGGTTCTTTTGAAGGATATATCTGTATCACTTGTCTGTCATTTCGTTATTGGCGTGTGAATCTGTGATCCAGTCTTCATTCTTGTAATGTCTCAAACTACAGATGTACAGATATAGATAAACACACACACATTCCTCCCCCATTAGATTTTGTGCCAGGAGAAAAGTACAGAAAATTATCTTTGCCATGTGATTAGTTTTTGGTTTTGTGGCCTTGAGCTCAAGTTAAGACCATTCGGTACATTAACTCATCTCCTACTAAGTCTTAGGTAGTGTTTGCCCACATATTTGTCAGTTTAAAGCCCACACATTCACAGTGCAGAGCATGAAAGCATAAGCTCACCTTGAACAAATTTGAAATTTTCACATTAGGAATATATGGTTAAGAATGTATACTCCTGTTCAGAGATGTCAGATTTTGTTTTAAATAGTATTCTTCAGATGGTTGGGTAATAAACCTCTTTGTGATCATCCTTGATGCATCACACAACGTTTCTTTGGCAAAACTGGGTATCTGTTTTGAAATTTGAAATGAAGGCCTGTGTTCCACAAAGCTTCCAGGTCAGAAATCAGTACTTTGAGGCATGGACTGATTTTTTTAAACTTCTCTCTGGTAATAATTTGAAACAATTTCTGCTAAACCCTTCTTTTCTCTCCTCCGCAGGAATTCAGCTCTCCTAGTTTGTGGTCCAGCATTTTGCCAAGTTGATGATAGTCTTAGAAGATGACAGTATATTTATGACATTACAAGTGTACAGCTCCCGTAGCAAGGAGGTGAGACACAGTGGACATGCTTGAGGTGATTTGTCTTCGCAGTGAGGTGCTACCCCCGCCCTGAGGCCACAGTGTGAAGCCAAGGGTTTCATTGCAGTGAGACAAGGACTCTGAAGTTGCAGGTGCACTATAACTTCAATGTGCTGCTGAAAAGTGGCAACTTTGGAGGAATAATCATGAAAGTAATATTTACAGGGGTTCAGAAGGTTGAGGAGGAATCAAAAGTAGAATACCTGGAATGTCTTTAGCTTTCTACTACTAGAAATAGAGAGTTGAGGGGAATTTTATGCAATTAGCTGAATTGCCTCTGAAATTAATAGGGTTTTTTCTGTATGCTCCCTTGGGTTTAGGTTTGTTTTATCTTTCTTTTTAAAGTAAGAAGTTTCATACTTATTTTGTAATTAGACATTAACAGTGGATTATTTATAAGGATTAGTGCAAGAGAGATTTTTGGTGAAAAAATGTGAAGAAATGTCACCATAACATCAGGTAGATCTAAGTGTTAGAAAAGGTAAACTCTGCAATGCCATTCAATCTCCTTCTCTTGCTAGACAAAAAAAGATGTGAATTTTGCATTATCTGTATGACAGATTTTTATTAGTAAACAGAAATAAAACTCAGCTGCTCCAATTTCAATTATATACATTTACTTTCTAAGTATAGAATTTTCTTTTATGAGCATAAGAAATAGTTAACATTATTTAGTAGTGTTTGTAGTTTAATATTTATTAATATTTAATTTACTATTGAATTTAATGTTTATTAATATTATAAACATGGTTTAGTATTTATTATTCAGCTGCTGTAATTTTGGCTCCAATGTATAATTACTCTATAATTACAAAATTATCTGAAGCAAAACCATGAAATAGTGCTACATGAAACAAGAATGTTCCTATCTTAGAAACTGTGTGTCTAGAGTCATCCTTTTCCCTGAATATCTTGAAACTACCTGGAATGTAGACATTTATGTGCCTGCATAATTCGGTGTTACAGTTGGTAATTTCAGTTTTTCCTTACTGTGGCTATCTCTGAACTCTCTGTAGGCATTAGTTTCCCTGAAATTTGTAGAGATGTCAGTACCTTTACCCCTCTCTCTGCCCTGTTTGGAACTGGCTTTGATTCAGGCTGGGACCCCTGGTGAGATATTGGACAAAATGTGCAGCCTCCTTCCTGCAGAGAAACAAGCTCAGGCTGTCCTTTGGAAGATCACTGGGAACTTGGGTTGGCCCTTCCCAGATTCATCTGTCATGGAGACATTCATGAAACTGAAGGGTAGGATATTCAGACTTCTGAAATAAACAGGTTTTTGCATGTGTGACATGTTACTGTAAATCCCACAGGCAATAGCTCAAGTGAGGTATTTTAGAACACAAGAAGGGATCTCCATCTGTTTGGTTTCAGTCTTGCATATTGTTATTTTACAGAAGGAAAAAACCCAAATCTGAATTTTCTAAGTTTTGGGTTTCAGGATAAGCCAGAATTTTCTGTGTCGAAAGTCACACACCTTCTGTCTACTAAATGATGAAGGTTTTTTGGGTTTTTTTGAGGTGGGGTTTTTTTGAGGGTGGTTTTTTTTCAAAATTATGAAGGGTTTTTCCTGGCTTTTATGTTTTACAGGTTATCAATCTGATCTAGTTCATACATTTATGTCTCATTTCTCACTCTTTCACATGAGATCCATGTGCTCCCAGGTCAATACCTATGCTTCTGGCTTTTGCTTTTCCTCTCTCTACTGAAACAGTAAATGAATCTATAGGCTCACGGTGTGAACCTATGTGAAGGTACTGTCTCAGCAATGGCATTAATTTTGTGTAAGTACATGTTTTGGCAGAATTTAAAAACCAGGGAAAGTTTCTTAGTGCACAAGTCTCTCCTAAAAGTTCCATGTGTTTGCTTAGGCACAGATGGGCCCTTTCTTCCCTGGGTTCAACATCATTTTGGTAAATGGGAACCTACAAAAGCAACTGTTTTTGTCTTCCTGACAATATTTAGGTAATTGCTCACTCTTCTTTTGCTGCTCTCAGCAGACTTGATGCAGCCAAAATACCATCATTGTGTGGTAATTCTATAAATATTTCAAGGTGAGTTTTGTGGTAGCAGGTTTAAAAAAAATTTAAATCCTGTTTTTATAGTATTCTCTCTCACCTTCCAAAACATCCTATCACTGCCAAAACGGGAATATTTAATGTTCTATTTTAATAATCTAAGCAGGATTTAACCACTATAAATTGAGCATTTTTCTTCCCATGTTTTTAGCAGCATGACAGATCTCCTCATTTTGGAAATATTTCTCAAAATAATTAAGATGCAAAACCTGACTATTACTAAGAGAAGTTTGTAAGAATAAAAGGCAAAAGAAGTTTACTCAGCCCAGTGCCATTTTTACACCTCTGACTTCAATGGTTAACTTTCCCTGGACATACACGTTTGCACATGCCAGCACCATTTCAGTGGTGTTTACTGTAATAAGATCCTGTCTTTCTGACAGAAGGTAAATTTTCTCTGTCAAAGTGCTTGTGGTAGTAATTTTCTGTGCCCTTCAATATCCTGGTATAATGTGGTATATTCGAAAAGCAGCCTATAATCACAATTCTCCAAAAAGAATCTAACTGAAGAAGTACAACATTACAGTGTTATTAGCTATAACAGCTGTGGGCAAAAGAAAAGGAAGAAACAAGTGGTAATTCTTGTATTTCAGTGTGCATGTGTGTGTCTTCATACACATACATATGAAATAATGTATTCGTGTACCAAGGGTGTATCTGTGTAATGCTCTTGTGCTTGGTGCTCATGGGAAATACAAAATAAGCAGCCTTTATTTTTTTTTTTTTTCAAAAAGGCAGTAGAAGTCCACAAAGTTTTGAAGCATGTTGCTTTTGTTTTCAATGAAAATGCATGGTTAGTAAGCAAGGATTATCTAGGATATGTTATCTAGTATAAGTTAATTTGTTACCCCACACTAATTGGTCTGGCTATCTGAGACCCGAAACTTCTTAACCCTTGCAGCCATCTTAATTTCCAATTTACTTATGGGGTTTTTTGTCTGCTTGGTGTTTGTATGGAGTGCCCTCCATGAGTTGTGAAATAAGCAGCAGAGGCTACAGTGAGAACTATAGAATAAAAATGTACACCTTCAAAGTGCATATATGTTAATTTTCTTCAAGGGTATTTTTGACAAGTGTAGATTTGTTGAGACATTTGTGTGGGAGAGTTCACCTCAGTGTTGCTTTTCTCCACACATGAAAATAAACCACAGACTCTTAAATATCCTGAGAAAAATTTCTTCAAAGACAGATCAAAGGTCTTTACTAATGTCTGAGGAAGCTGCCTGTCTTGTGAACTCATGTCTATGGAGAGCTGTTTAAGACAATCAAGATCATTTTTCCATTGATTTGATCATTTGCAGCCTGCTGTGAGAGGAGTTGCCTTATTTGGAGAAGGAGGAGGTGGGGGAATCCACAGATACTCCTAGTTTTTCCAAGAAAGTAATGGATAAAATAACTTTTTTAAACCAACTGTGTTGGTTTTTCCCCCACTATGCTCTGTGGGTTGCTCCGCTTCAAACAATTGTCTTAAACAGTGCATGTACAAGACTTTTGGGTAAGAATGAGTCAATAGACTTATTTTTTTTATTTTATCAATTTTATCTGCTTTTGTGGCTATTGCATTCACTGAAATGTCCAGGTATGACTTTCACATCCCAGAAATTTTATATTTTTGTTTGCTTGCTTCTTGTTTTTTATTTCATTTTTGTTTGTTTGGGGGGTTGGTTTTTTGCTTCTTGGTTTTAATTTGATTTGTCCAAAAAAATCTCTTTCTGTCTCCTTTTACATCAAAACAACACAGAACACATATGAGCTAAGCTTTGAAAGTTTGTGAACTTCTTCCTAAGCTGGAATTCCCCACCTTTAGACAGCATTCACGAAAATAAATTGATTTTTATTCCTTAAGGCCTGGGTTTTCATTCTTATCTATTTCTTATGTCTGTTTGCTTCATGAACTGCATCTTTTATCACTCAGACCAGTTTTTTATAGGCTCTATGATAGCAGAGAGCTCTTAACTCTTAGTAGTTGTTGAGAATAGTGTTTCTATTTTGAAGCATTTTACTGGTTTTGTCGTGCTGCCACAAAGCATCTGTAGGTGCTAGATAGGACTTCAGGCTTCTATCTAGACCTAGGGTTTCCAAGTTGATGGGTTAGGGGTTTTTTGTTTGTTGTTGGTTTAAGCCAAACATTTTTATTATCATCTCCACCATGACTGTGTTCTTCTGCAACCTAGAAATTGGACAATAATCGTTTGTTGGTTTATCTGATCATAAATGAAATAATTTAATTTTCTTTTTTGTAGATGTTGGGTTTTCTTTTAGCTGGATTTTTCTTGTATATCCCAAAGTTTTGATCTTCATTACATTCTGTGATTTGGTACTCTGGAGCAATACCAAAGTTTTCTTTATAGTCTGTAATACAAAACCAGTGTTTTAGTTTCTCCTTGCTTGCTTTTCTCGTTCATGACAATACCTCAGTATGCAACGGCAGGCTAACATTTTTTTGTCTGACTAGGATAATCCTTAGCTGTGCAAAAAATTGGCTCTGGCATTTTCCTCTTCCAGCTGCAGCTACAAAATAACAACACATGCATGGCCGTGGAAGATTCCTCGACTTGTTCCCCATGCTCACATCCTCTGAGTTTAACATTCAAGTGGAAAATGTGGATAAAAATCCGAAATATTTTTTCCAGGAGTTTAATGAAAGAATATCTCTCTCAGATCTCCAGTAGTCTCACATTTCTATGCAGATTACACCTTATTGTCTATGGAACATAGGTGGTTTAGGTTTGGGGTTTGGTGAGGGGAAGGGATGAATGGCAGGAGTTCCCTCCTCACCTCTGAGCCAGGAGTGCTGACTGGCACTGCCCTGTATCCTACTTATCCAGATCCACATATGCTACCACAGGATTCTTGTGATGCCTGAGGACAAATTGCAGGATTTTGGTAAGAGTGCCCTGGGGTCACCAGGTGCTCCTAAGAAATTTTTAAAACATTAATTCATGGGCTTTGGTGGAAATGGAAATAAGTCGTGTGTTGGCCTTTCGAATCAAAACACCTTTTTGTGACAGGAATGTATATTTCTGCTTTTTGTTGTTTTGGAGTATTTTTCTTTTGTTGTCTCTGTCTTCTTTTATTCTTTCTTTTTGTTCTTATTAACCTCTAGTTTTACCTGTTGATGTTATGGCAGCAGGATATTTTGAATTATCTACTGCATATTCACCTCCACACAAACAAACACACAAGAAATGTGAGCTTCCTTGTGGATTCTCAAGTCAGCTTTGTAGTTAATTTTTAGTTTTTAAAGTTTTTTTTCATTAAAATTGGTTATTGCCTTAAAAAATTGAAAGTAAAATTACAGTGGTGGCTTTTTTTTTCCATATTGTTCATATAAATTAGTGACTGTGCCTATATATGCCAGGAAAATGTGAAAAGCATAGAATTTGAAAAATAACTGTATACAGTGAAATTAATTGTTGTGTGTTTTCACATTACATGTTTTACCGGCCATGACACTCATTATTATTTATTATAATGCCTTACAGTATTCCCATAGGAATATGTCCTCCTCTCGTGACACAACTTTGGAAAATGCAATAAAAACACACTGGAAACCTCAGCTTTCTAATAGGAAGTTTCTTGTAAGCAGTGAAGTTATAATGCCTCCTCCCAGTGAAAAGGAAGTAGGATGGAGATCAGTGAGCCAGGTAAATGTCCCTCCTTTCTGTCACTAGCTTTGCTTTCTTCTTTTTCCCCCATGTTGGAAGTTTGGTCTTGAGGCCATCACCCATGTTTTGGAATAGGGGAAGTAGAGAAACCCCATATCTTCCTTTCATTGCTGCATAAGGACCCCACAGTTTTGCCACATGACATTCACATGCAAAGGCAAAAGTTGTTGATTTGTGGCTGCAGCTGTGACTTCATCCTGGTTTTGATGATATTGTAGCCGAGTCCTTGGGGAAGGGCAAGGTGTGTGGCATAGAGCACGTACTGTTGTTTGTTCCTTTCTTTGCTTTTCCACTTGCTCAAATAAAATATGTCTCTGACCAGCTGCTAGTCCAGTGGCTAGTGAGAGTGGACGAAACCGTTCTTGCAGATCTAAATGAGAGCATCTGTGACTATTTTGCAGGAGTCTGATGTTCAGAGAGGCCTGAAGGGAACACCCAGGTCTGGATGCCTTTTTCCTCATCCCCACCCTGTAAAGGCCTCTTTGAAAAGCCCATTTGAAACACCTGTTTATCCTTTTGGAAGAATGGTACCTAAAATGAAAGCAGAATCTTTGCATTGCCCAGTTTAACTGCTTGGCACCAGTTGACCTACATTTTGGGTGTGGCTTTGTTACATGTGTGTTGGCACTGGAGACATGCAGAAAGCTTGTCCACCTGCCCCTGATGGCTAGTGACAAGCAGTGTGGAACCTGGGGGACACAGTAGGGACCCTTCTGCTGCCTGTGTTCAGCCCTGTAATTATTGTGAGAACACTGGGGAAGGAACTGCTTCCTGAGTAGCAGTTATCATAAATGGAGTGATCTGCCAGGAGAGGCTTCTTGAAATTGCCTTTTTGGTCTTGGTGGCAATTATAATGCATTTCTACTAGTGTTTTCTTGGCAGCTGAGGACAAGTCTACAGTTTTTTAGGTGTGTTGAAGAGGGCATGAACAGGCGACTCCAAATGTTTGCATTTAACATGCAAGCCCTTCCTAATGAAGCAATGAGTCATATCCCGCAGGCATAGATTCTTAGATTGCTGCTTAGCAAGACTTCACCAAAATTATTTTATCAGAAGCTAATATTTAGCTCCTGAGAACACCATGCCCCTTCTGCACATAAATAATGCTAATTTGTTATACATTAAACCAGAGGGTTAATGCCACTTCTGACAGTGCCTGTGTACCTCATCATCTGAAGGTACAGACATCTTCCCTATAGATATAGCACATATACATATATGGAAAAGATACTGCCTGGTCAAACTTCTGACTTGTAAATTTTTTTAGTGTGAAAAAAGAAGATAAATTCCGAAGTGGACACCCCTTCCCTTTTTGATTACTGGGTGGTTGTAAAGGAGTCATTGTAATGCACAGCAGGTGTGTGTATGTTGTGATTGTATGTTCCCATGCATTAAGACTATTTATGTTCTTTCTCTATGAGGATATTTTTTCTTAGTGCTCTGTTCAAATCAGTTCTGTTTGGGTGAATAAGTATTTAAAAAGTGTTAACAGTAGAGTGGATTTACATTGATGAAGATAATACACAGCTTTGAATAGCTAGATGTTCCTCTATGTGCAAGCAGTTCTATTTGAGGAACAATCACAGATCCTAATACTTCTCTGACACCAAAATTTAAGTTAAATTTCCAGAGATAAAATAAAGGTAAGGCTTTTAAATGAAAGGCCAGAGAATCTGTCCTGTATTTTTTAATACCAAATACCCAGTAAACATCAGAGTGCACATGGTGGGATTCTGCAAGCTTTCTTTGTGCTGATAGGCCCAATAAAGTCTGTGGTGCTGCATGTGCAGGATTGCATTTTACAGGGTTAGGGACTGTATTTTGTGACTCTTACTGCTCATATAACTCTGAGTACATGTATTTTGCTTTAAGTGTAGTCTGGACAGCCTCAAAATGTAGCATTTTAAAGGTCTCTTGTTAACACAAGCATACTTATTAATTAAAGAAACAAATGTAAAAACAGTAAGATGTTTAAATTAAGGTTCAGTCATTTTCTTATCATAGAGCCTTAAAAAAGAAGAAAATTATTAAAAAACCCCCACATTACACACCCACACCCATACACACACACACCCCACATGACCAAAAAAAAAAAAACACCAAAAGAATCACCACCACCACCAAAAAAAACCCCTTAACAACCACCAAACCATAGAATTTACTGGGATGAGAGGGGAAAGTATATTCATAACTGAGAAGTATATGAATATATATATATTCATAACTGAGAAATAAAACTGACTGTCTGGTTTGGTTTTTAGGGCTAGAATTGAAGGAAAAAATAAGGAAGAAATGCATGTGTATGATAAATATGGCGTAGATTGTGGCTTTTAACACCAGCTTTAATAATGTCAGGAATCATAATTTTCTGGTTTTTCATGAGCTTAAGACAAATTATGTAGGTTTATCCTTAGAGCGTTCACATAGTGAGATTGTTTAGGTCATAGTTTCAGCTTTGTGCAAGTTAGAGCTGCTGAAACATACTCATCTCTTTGACATTTTGATTTATTTAAAATATATGTGGTGACAGGTAAAAGCTTCAACAGTAAATACTAGTATTTCTTGTTTCAGGAAATAGAATTAAATTGGAATAAGTTGGTCTATGAGTTAAGTAAAGTCCAGTATTTTTGGGATAAAATGAAAGTAGCCTTTTGCAGATGAACATTCTAAATTTAGTTTTGCTGTATTTGAACGTGATATATACAGCTTCTTAATGTCCCACTAGGTCCTAGACAGGGCTCCTAAATCCCACTGAAAAAATTGATAAGAGTGATAATTCAAAAACCTGATCATCTTTACCTTACTGCATCTGCATTGTGCTGTTCAAAATGAAGTTATTGCTAAGGAGATATTGCAATGCACTGCATTTCTTTGGGCTCTGAATAGGGAAGAAGCCTTATAGCAAATTCTTGTTCTTGTGGTGTTCTTCAAATGTCTGTTAAGCCAATGTCATCCCAACAGATATCCTTTATGTTCTGTGATCCACAGAGTTTGTCAGAGATGTGGGGCTTTAAGAATCTAGACTAGAAACAATTCAGTTTAGCAAGCAGAACTTGATCCTAAATGATTACATGATTGTTTGGGGCCTGTAAAAATAGTTTGGAGGCTTAGTCGCTACTACAGTAATAAATGTAGTTAGTGATCAAGCTTTGAAAAAAATACTAAGCCCAGTATCCCATGAAGCTATACAGGCTACCTGTACAAGATGTAACCCTGTGGAGATTTAAGGCTGCTTTCCCGAAGGGCCTGTAAGATCCTTGAAAGGCACAGCTTTGTCAAATTCGCAGCTGCATGGTTAGACATGGACCCTGGTCATCTGCTCCCTGGCCTGACAGGTCCAGCAAAGGCAGTGTTTGGCCACTGTCCAGCTGCTGGAGCAATGGTGTTTGCCTCGAGGGGTCCCACATGTCCCTGCTGTGCTCCCCGCCCCGGCTGCCTCCAGGTTTGCTGCTGTGCCCAAAGCTCCTCTGCACCTGCTGACCTTGGCACTGGGGACAGCCAGGGTGGCCTGCGAGGATGAAGGGGCAGAAGGGAGGGAGGAAAGGAGCTCTTGACAAAAGATGTATGATAGTTTTGGGGAAGTGGCCATGTCACCAATGTTGGAGTGTCATCTTTGTCTTAGGGAAGCTGTGCATGCAGGGTGAACTGGACAGAGCATCTGGAAGGCTGTGAGTAACTCTGTGCCCAATTGTGGGACACAAATAAGGCTCGTATTTATTTACATATATAAAATTAACTGTCTCTAAAATGATCTAGGCATACACATATGCAAACTCACTCCACTGTGAGGAAGAATTGTAAGGGCTGAGACTGTGATACCTTGCAAAACAAGGATGGCTGTGTGTCCAGAATTAGATCTCTTAGTATAAATGCTTGTGCAGGAAGGTTTTCACACTAGCTTTGCCTATGTACCTAGCCTGTCTGGCTGTAGGCAGTGAAGAGGGACGGAGTTGGTGTTCAGAGGGCACTTCCACAATTCCAAAGTCGGATTTCTTCTCCCACTTGGGAGAAGCCCTGATTTCTCCATGAGATGTAGCAGCAGATTAGTTGGTTAAGTACCTAAACTCTGAAGTATGAAAGCCTCTTTCCTTCCCTGCTGTGCCCTCTGCCTTCTCAAAGGAATCAGTGTTGCTTCTCAAAAATCTTGAGCTTCTTGTTCAGTGCAACATACCAGAGTTGGCTTTGCTTAAGAATTAAGTGTCAGAATTGTAGCAGGAAAATCGTGAAAATAGATGGCTTATCACCCTATTTAATTAGGTACTTCTGTCTCTAAGAAAAAGTCCTGAGGCAGTTATTAGCAATTGATACTCGGTAAAGAGGGCTTGTGGGAGATCCCTTCGTTGTTCTGGGAGTACTTCAGTTTAGTCTCCAACAATGCTCAGAAGCCAGAGAGCTTTAACAAAACAGCAGCAGGCTAAACCAGAAGACATCATTATGCCTTTCTGCAAACATATTTTGGGTATGGGATGGAGTTGGTTCCCTATCTTCATAAAATGTAAAGTAACACCAGAGTACCTATGCTCTTATCTCCTGGGACAAGCAGACCATGACTGCTCAAATAAGAAAGAAAATGTGTAAAAGACACATGATTTAGAGTGCAGATATCCTGAGTAAAGTGAAGTAACTATTTCCATGAAGTAAATGGAAATAGTTATTTGCTCATAGCATGATAATGGGGCACACTCAGTGGATCAGTTTGCCATAGAATTGAAATAAAGTGAAGTATTTTGATGCGTAGCTAAACCCCTGAGGTGAGTGCCACAGGATACAGCTGAGGCCAGAGGTGTCAGTGCTTTCCGTGAGGAGGCTCACAGAGAAACAGTTTAATTGTGGTAGTTCAGAAGGATGTTCTGAAGGCAGCTTAAATCTTTAAGTGACAGCTGAGGGCATGCTAGGAGAAGGATCACCCCCGTTGCTGTCTTTCTGCAAACATCTGCTTTTGGCCACTGTTAGAAAGGCTTTTGAACTAGTCAGCCTCTGGCTTTCCTGATGCATTTTTCCTGTTGCACAGGTGATACTCTAGACTATTAGTTCTCCAGTACCTTTTAAAGCTAGGTAGTGAAATATATTTTGTAGCAATCCATTAATTATTTGCACTAGGGAGTCAAGCTAACTTTGCCCATACAATACTTTATACATTAGAAGTTAACTACTGTCACAAGTCACATTATTTCTGTTGAGAAGAGTGATTCATCGTTCTATGAGTAGCTAACAGATCTCTCAGTGGGAATGAAATTTTAGGTCATGTCATTTTTTAGAAGAAAATACATATTGGAAACAGGACATTGTGTTTGAATACACGTGTTTTCTGTTGAACTGGATTGTCTAAGAACTTTTTTCTCAAGTATTTTGAGCAAATTTAGTGTTTATTTGTTCATTATTAGCTTCAAAATGGTAGTTGTGGAGGAGAAGGCTTGTTTTTATGGGTAGTATAGCCTCTCAAATGTGCCTCAGTCCTGTTCAGGAAAACTAGGTTTTAGCTGCTATAACGGCTACTGAGGATGGTTTTCTAATCAATGTTTTACCTGATGTACATTTCTCCTATATTCCTTTCATCTGTCTGGTGGAAATTTGTTTCACTTTTCTTTAATTGCTCATCAAAATGGTCTATTAGAGATGTTACTTACATTGGAAAAGCCTCTTGGGCAAGAGCTAACCGTACCACATATGCATTCTGAACTACTGTAACTGTGAAAATTTAGAAATAACCCTCTGGAGAACACAATTTCAGGATCTATAAATCCAGCATATCACAAGTTACCTTGCACTTCATTTGTTTCCCTGTGTTGAAATTTTTGTTTTTATTTTTTTCTTCGGCTGTCTTTTTAATACTCAATATATAAACTTAGTAGGGGAGCTGGATGGAATTTGGAAAACTGTGAAGTTCAAATGTCACTGTTTTACAAAGAGAATAAATATGCTACTGAACAACATCTGTATTAAGTTGGGGTAACAGTGTACGTATTTTCAAGTATTGTATTTCTTGTGAAGAGATGTCTACGAAGGTTAAATCAAAGGGCAGCTTTTTGAGAGGGCTTTGAAACTGTGCACCATGGCAGGATACAGGACTTTGATCTATCTAGTTTTAAAAACTAAATTTTGGCACAATATTTGTCACAAATCGTAGTCTTCAGGAGTCAGGACGTTGACATCCTTAAAATGATTTTCACAGCACAAGCCAAGTGCAGGAGAATCATTCTTCCAAGTGCAGGATCCTAAGCTTTGTGCAACCACAGAAGTGATGACAGTCAGAGGAACTCTGTGAGAATATTACCAATCATTGTTTTCTTTTGGTGCTTCCTGCAGCACACTATGGTTCAGGCAACGATTGTGATAAAAGGCTTTTAAATTGATGTAAAGACCAAGTTGATTTGACATGTTTTGTAACCAAGTGTTTATTAGTTGAAATAATCTTGGGTGTTTTTTGGCATAGTTTATGTTTGAGTGGGAAATTGAATCATTGTCAGAAGTCTGTGTAAATTTGAGCATGTTAAGCTGAAGTTACCAAATGGAACTGTGGGAGGCTTTTGGCTTGTGTTAATGGAGTATAAACCAAAGCTCCTACCTTGCTGCCTCAAGAGCCACAAAAATGTTAATAGAAGTCAGAGATGCAAGATAAAAATGTATTGCGTGTAACCTGTCTACTTGCCAGTACTAGCTTTTTCCTTGGGTTACTTTCCACTATTTTGTTCCATCTAGTTTAAGGTATTAGAAGAGATGAGACTTCCTCTGCATTCCTGTGGAAATTATTTTGCCGTCCTCATAAGACCTTGTGATTTTTTTTTTTCCTTGTTTTTATTTCCTGGTTCTTATATTTCCAGAGCAGAATCTGCACCAAAACTGTCAGGGGTTGCTTTCCTGTTAGCTTTGGCAAAATGATTCAGGCTTCCTTCTTGCTCCTGTCTGCTTTTGTTCAACTGAATGAACCAATGACCATTCAAACATGCCTCAAACTACAGGTCTTTTAAGATAGGTGATACTTTGCTGAAGGCTGCTGTCAACATTTTAAATTAACCTACATGTATCAGGCAAAGCAACTAGAGCTCTTAGAGTTTCTTTCATTGCATTTTCTTTTGTGTCTCTTAGACTGGGTTTTGACACAAGGCCTTCCTAACTGGTTTCCCATGTTCTCTTTTCCACCTCTCTCCCCTTTTACACTAAGGTACTTGTGCATAAGCTTGCAATAGGCTTATGGAATGGCCAATTATAGGCACTTAAAGCTAGACTAAGATGAAGTCAATGATTCATCAGTAAGCAAAAGCTAAAATTAATCCTGTCACCAGCCTGTAAAATTGGGCATTTTTTCCCTATTTCATCAAAGATAATTTGTCCCTAAAGAACATGTTGCTTATATTGGGGCTGTTAGGTGCTCAAGACAAACTAATTTGAATTGTTGTTCAAGTCTCCATGTGAGCTTTTGCAATTGTTTCAAAACCCACAATATTTCTGGTCTATTATAATTTAATTGATTCCCTATATTTTATCTTCCAATTATGTATAATAAAATTACATACGTATTTACTCTAATAATTGTAACTAAATTCATCAGGAACTGTCGTGATAGGACAAAGAACATTCATTTGAATGTTATTTCCTTCATGAGCATTTGCTCATTTAATTCATGAGCTGGGTGAAGTGATTAGAAATTGCTTACTTTTTCATTCTTTGTCTTTTGCTGGGTTTGCTGAGCTAATTTCTTGTGTGTTGACTTGCTTCTCAGCTTTTAGGTTGAGCTACTGTACATAATAAGGTGCACAGTGGCAGCTGCTCCTTGAAAAGTTGCCATTTGGAAGGAAGTACAGAGGTTGTCCTGCAGACCTGCACGCACACGTATAACATGCATTACAGTGGGAACGCCCTGCCTCAGGTGGGAACAGAGGCTGCCAGAGGCGTACAGGGACTTTCGTAACCCAGAATCAGTTTTGTGAAAGATTTGGTTTTAAATCTTTTTCTCCCTCCAAGTCGAGTTTGTAAATGCTTTCTTAGATCTGTTGTACATTCTGAAGTGTTTCACAGTCTGATAACAGATGAGCTAAGTTTTTGCTGCCAAAACCCTGCAAAGTGTGAGCAGTAGGGAGCCTAGGGAAGAATGCTGGTCTTTTAAAACTATGCCAACCTTAACATTTTAACTTAATTATGGTTTAAATCACAAAGTCATCACAATATTCTTGGAAGAAGATGCAAACTAGGATCACTGTACATAAAGGGGGAAGATGTGTGCAACACCTGTAAACACAGTGAAAAAGGAAAGTAAGAAGCTGTGGATATCTCTCTTATCAGGATATTTGTGCTGCATGATCAGAGTCTGTCACCAATCTCATAGCTGAGCATTTTTAACGTGTACTTTGCACTCCTAGTTGCTGTTCCCTCAGAGCCTTTTCTGGTGCCTGAATTGGAGAGATTGTGGTGTGGTGTAGAGCTGTTCTTGTCTCCTCCACATTCCTTACACAAGGTGTGGAAAACCAACAAGGGGAAGAAACTTGGGTTTGGTGAAGTCCTAAGTTTGTATCATCTTAAAGCTGCTCAGAGGGAAACCCTGGCCAGTGTAGTTCAGGCAACTGGTAGCAATTAAATTTACACCAGGAGTGGAACTTTAAAATAATTAAACACTCTAACTTTTACACAAGTGAAGCTTGTATGCCAGATACCGTTAAGCCTGCATCTTTGTTGCTCTATCTGCCCTCCCACAGCCAGTATAACAGGGGTGCAGATTTTGGCTTGTTTAATGGAAATATGGGCATGATTGATACAGATCAAAACAACTTTTGCTAGTGAGAGATTAATTCATGCACTGAGCTCATGCTAGTGATTGTGTAAATGCTGCTTCCTATACAAAATTAAAAGATTTCTGACAGCCAGCCTGATCTGAGGCAGCTAGTTTTAAAACATCAGGAAGTCTTGTGAGGGTATTGGGGATGGAAGTTTGTTGTGTTACCTTATTACTAAGTTCTGTGCAAATTCAGAGTACTCTTGCTGCTTATACAATTTTAGTGCAGTTTTATTTGTGCTACTGAGCAAATGGACAGTTTTATTTGCTGAGAGTCAGCCAAGTGGCACTCTGTGGGAGAATGCTGATAAACCTGACAATTTTAAACCTGGGTGTCTCTCTGCTGTTTTTCAAACACAGTATGTCTCCTTCTTCTGTATATATCGTGTTGTCTTGCCTCCCCATCCCTGATTTGGGTTGGCTGCCACAAAGGTGGTAACACTTCTGAAGTTCTCATCCTTCTTCATGGTCTTGCTCATTTTTGCTCACATGAAAAGCTCAGTCTTTTACTTCCCTCTGTTAAACCCTTTGAGACTATTTAGCACCCTGAAAAGTCATTATTCTTCCAATGTTCCTGCAAGACTTCAGTGTCTGTTTTGGTGAGGCAGTTAAGGAGTTAAAGGCTTGTGGAGTTTCAAAGAAATGCTGGACAGCTGCTGTAAAGTATTGCTACAAATCCTCGCTGACCTCATTCTTGTCAGACAACAGTGATAAAATCCAAAAACGGGTTCAAGACAGGAAGTGTTTCAGGAAGGTATGTGTTTCATGTAAAGACATCAGAAATGTGCTTTCTCCCAGAGCCATTTACCGTAAGATCCATATTAACTTAAATGAAACCGTGAAATTCCAGAATATGTTTACAGAAACATAATTTCAATCCAGAAAAAACATCGTTTGTTGCTCTAATGTACAAATGGCAAAAGCAGTTGTGGTAACCACTGTATGTATTTAATATAATGATATTGCTGGCTGTATGAACCTACTTTTTAAACATATGGGAACTTCACATAACTTTTGATAGTTGTGTTTACTATTTTAAGGGGTATCTTTGACTTGAAAGAGTTGCAAAGAAGGAATACAAATCTACTTATGTTTTCCCATTTACTTTATGCTCAAAGACTGGTTTGATATCTAATGTGATTTTCACTAATTTAGTCAACTGAGTTCCTTAGTACAAAAGGAAGAAGAAAATCTCATTTTTCCCTTAATGCAGTCTGTGACTTGGAATTTAAAAGAATTAGCTTTTGAAAGATTTAACATTTTTCAGTAGTCAATCTACCAAGTTATCTACATCCTATATGTACAGGTTCCTATTATTTTCATTGTACTGAAAAGTTCAGACATGAGAAAACTTGTATTTTATTTCTATTTTTCAGAAGTACCCATGTAAAAGCATGCAAATAAAAATATTTCCTACCAGTTCAGAGTTCTTCTGCTGATAGTTAGGGATATTTTCCCTAAACTTCCTCTTCGTTGTCTCCAGAATTGTGCCTCTTATAGTATGAATCTGCAGTAAAAATCAAGCATAAATGATTATTTTTTTTTTAGCAAGCATAAGTGAATATTGCTTGTGAGATTTTTTTCTTTAGATTGCAGACGTCCTTATCTCAGCATTAGCTTGATAATTTTTTATAAAATAATTTATTAAGAGTTAAACTAGATCAAATAAAGATTCTACCATTTTAAAAGTTGCACATGAATAATATGATTAACTGAAATGAAGTCTAGCAGATGCCTGTAGGAATATTGAAATATTAAAATAAAGCACTGCTATTTAGCCTCTGATCTTTGTTTCATTTAAAAACTTGTTTCTTCTGTATTTTTTTCCTATATTCTTCTGTAGTTTAAAAAATACTCATTTATGTTGGTAGGGAGTGAACAAATTTTAGGTACTGGAACTCATGCAGTAATTTCCTCTTTGGAAATTTGCCTGTTTGTGAAGCTGGGTCACTGACCTTGAAGGGCCCTCTGAAAAGTGTAGCTCATGGCCAGGGATCATGGGGGTGCTGAATAGTGTAATAGCAGAGGTTTTATAGAGATGTGACCTAGGACCTCAGGTGAGGTGCATGAGGAGATAAAGGCAGGCTAGTGGATGGAAGACCCGAGTGCAGCCAAACTCAGCCCTGTTACGTGCTGAGAAACGAAATGAGTATGATCTGTGTTTTTAAAAGATGATCCAAGGATGTAACAGAAAAAAAAAAGGAAGGAAAATTTGATTATTTAGATGCAGGAAGACATATTTTTTGTTATCTGATAGTATCAACTCATTTGGAATACACACACAGTTGTTTCAAACTGAATTATATTTTAGATTTGTCTGCTGTCTCTAGAAGTTATTGCCAAGAGTGAAAAACAACATAATACATTTCTAGTACTAAACCATTTATTACTGATGGGTAATGACAGAGTAGAGGGAGAAGGCACCAGTTAGTCTGGGTTAGCTCATGTGCTCTGGATAGCTCTTTCTTGAACCCTTAGATTTCTAAAGTTTTACTAGGCTATGTTGATTTCCCTCTGTTTTTTGGATGTTATGAATTGTCTCCATGTCAATGTCAGGTAATCTCAAGTATTCCCATGATTGTCTGCCTCAAACTTTTTCAGGTAATATGCCTTTTGGTCACTTTGCTATTGCCTATTTTAATAAATTGACAAATACCAGAAAGGCTGCAATAGCACCTTTTAAGAAAAGAAGCATGTTGGAGTTTTTTAAAATTACAAATGCCCTGAGTTGTCACTTACATTTTACTTATCTTTGCTTTTTAATGCTAGGGGCACAAAATTTTGGATCTGTACTGGCTTTCTTGTTTAAATTCTGAATTTTTGATAGTGAAGCAGGGAATTCATTCTCAAAGTCAAAAGGGAGAAAGTTTTTGTAATTACCAAGCAGTTATTGATTCAGACAAATGAGGGAGATAAAACCAGAATCCTATTTTACTAATTGTTGGTTAAAACACAAAAAAATTTATGAGATGCAGTGTAAGTATTAACCTTACAAAATTATCTAGAACTGCAAGATATGAGAAATGTTGTCAGTCCATCAGTCTGTCTCCTTGGCTTTTCAAAGAGATCTACCACAAGGAACTTAATTAACATGTTTTCTTGTAACAGTGATGTAAAAAATATGTTATTTAAGAGGTGTTCTTTTGTTTGTTTTGTATTTTTCTTCAAAGTTAATTGGGTTGATTTTGACCAATAAATGTAGATTATGTTTTTGTTCAGTCCATAATTCCAGCCAGTTCTGTGACTGTCCCTTTTTGATCTCAGTGTATTCTGATCTTTCTCCTGCATCTTTAGACATCCAGCTGAAGCATTTACCTCCTCATCAAATGTATAGAAGAATCTGGGACTTGTCTTGGTATTCTGGAAGAAACTAAAACCTGGCTTTTGTGATTCTCCCCATCAAAGGCTTTTCCATGTACACGCATAACATCAAGGAATATATTGTCTTACTGCTTAGAAAGCCCTGTTCAAAAATCTGTGGATTTGTTGGTGAAAAAAGTAGGACTTCTGAATTGATTCAGTGGGTTTTTTTTTTAAATCCAAGCAAGTGAGATTTTTTTTGTTAAATTAATATTTTAGCCTTCCTGCTACTTAGCTTTGTAGGTTAGATAATTGAGATAAAGCCTGGCATAGATGAGTTAAAGGTGTTAATTTTGTGAGTAGTTACCTGTGAAACGTAGAAATGCTCAAAATCCAACACCCTGCTCTCTCTTGTGTACTTGGAATGACACCTACATATGAATTATTAACCAAAATGAAATATTAAAGTATTCATACGGTGCATGAAAATCCTGATGGTGGCAAGGGTACATAGTGTTTCCAAAGAGCAAGGCTGTAGTTTAGGGTGGTTAGACATGCCTTCCTTGAATGAATGGAATAAAATATCTGAATCACTCCACTGTTGTCACCTCTCTCCACACTTACAGCCTATTTATTTGCTTTTTGAACAGTTGTTGTACGAACTCTCTTGACCATTTTCTCACAGAATTCTTACAATCTCTCCAAGAAAATAATTTGCATTGCAACTGTGGCAGTTGGTAGGAGTTGTGTGTGCTCTGCTTTGATTATCTGCCTTTCTTTCAGAGAGTACCATTTGACTCTTCTGAACCTGTTTCTGCTCTACTAAAAGGGGTAGTGATGCTGCCCTGCTTTGGTAAGTGTCCTGGGGTACAATGCAAAGATGTGTATTCTATCACCATCTGTTAAAATGTAGGAGGGGTGGTGATCCTTATCTCTATGGGAGATATCCTCTGCTGATGTGCCATCTGATAGGGGGATGATCGTCGTTATCTTTTCACAACCCATCCTTCTTCCAGAAGATATATTCCATTAATGGGCCTTTAAGTCCTATTGTGTGACTGATAAGATTACATCACCCCATTGGGAGATGCCCCAGCCAGGGGCAGGAGCCAAGCCTTCCCTACCTAGATAAAAAACTGGGGTTTGGGACCCGAGGGCAGACCTTTCTACTGGATCCCAGAGGAAAGTCGGACCTTTTTCCACATCATTGCTGGATCTTCGGAGGAAAACTGCACCTTCTACAGGAGCACTGCTTCAACAGAACCACATCTGTCATCCAGGAGGACTGCAGCCACCATTTCTACGGACTGCTACCAACACCCTGACTGACCGGGTGTCAGGTTGTATTTCTGACTGTGTCGGTGGTTGTTTCTTTTATATTATTGCATGTATTTTATTTTTTCTCTTTTCTCCTATTAAATTGTATTACTGACTTGGAGTCTCGCACTGGTTTTACTTTCAAACCAACACAGTAAGGCATCCTTCTGATCCAGAGGTGAAAGCCCAGATAGAGCTTTCTTTTTACCGATCCCAAGAGAGCCTGGATGCAAACTGCATGAAGGCCTGCAGTCTTTGAAGGAGATGTAAGGAAATCTTGCTGGAATTTGATTCTGTTTCTGAGACATTTGAGCTTGTTTTTTGACCCATTAATAAACCCTTGTTGCACTACTCCTGTTGCCTTTTGTTACAGTCATTACATTCCTCTGGAGTCTCTGTAGCCATTGTCTACTTTGTGTCTTTGGTTTTGTTTTTCTTCACTAGGGAGAGATTTTTAAGTTGTCAGAAGGTGTGAAATTCAGTTCCCAAAACCAGAAAACTCTATGCGTTTTCAAGGGGTATGTAATAACCATGCAAGCTCCACTGCATATTCCCTTCAGGAAAGTTCAGCTTCCAGTCTCACTTCAGTAGGTGTGCAGCCTTAGTGGGCTGTGTTCCTCCTCCTTGCCATTCTGCAGCCTGTACTGGCACTGGAAAGTGCCACAGAGGAAGGTATAGGAGAAGCCTCTAAGGACCCAGATAAGTGCTGTGGGATATTCAACACTGCAGAAAGCTCTTCTCACCCATTTGTGTGTGTGTGGAAGCACACAGGCTCTCCCAGTGGGAGAGACACCTAATGTATTTGAAAGAATCTGTGTGAGCTTTGGCTTTCTGCTGAGTATGTGTGGGCCATTTAGAGCAGACAGCTTTCTCAGAGGGGGCGAAGATCAGTTTAAAATTTTTAGGTGTACTACGTAATGCAAGCTATTGGCAGATTTGGAAGATACCCGTGAAATTTTTGTCACTGAAGAGGCCTTTTGTTTTCAAGAGAAAGTTTTGGATGCAGAGTGGGAAGAGGAGTATTTGCTAAGTATGTGTGAAATATGTTTGTTTTGAAAGCCACTATTGAATTAGGTGTAAACTGTGAGCCTGTTGTTTATGGAATCTGTTGTTTATCTGAGTGCAAGTTTTCCCCAGGGTCTTATATACACTACAGAATATTCATTAAGCTGTTGGCATTGTATCTCTAAATCTTTTCTTTGATTTCAGGGCTTAAATTAAAAAAGACAAGCCAGATATCCCCACTCCTCCCAAAATAAATCTAAGTTGTGAAACTGTCCTTAGCACGTTTGCTGAATGAAGCGCAAACACCTACTGTTTTCTGGCAAACTCTGTTTATCAATGTAGACACTCTTCTGAGAGTTGTTTCACTGTGTCCACATAGTCTTTACCTGACCTTCAGAAAGACTGATGATAAAGGGAATAATTGTAAGGCAGATTACTGCCTATTCCAGATTTGGGGTTATCTGTGTTTTCCAGCACATGACGTTGAACAACTACCAGGGACAAAATAATTGTTTTGCTTCTCTGAAGTTACTGTTGGCTTTAAAGCCAAAAAAGGGACTTGCCATTTACATAAGTTTAGAAAACCTTCAAAACATATATTTTAAACTTTTTATTAAGAAATATTGGGCTAGTGCCATGGCATGATGAAGAAGGCTTTCCAAACTGGTTTGAGAAGATAAGTGCATTTTCTTTATTATTTTGCATTCTACTAATATTGTGATTATTGTGCTACCATTTTGGCTATACAGTTGATCATATTTTGTACACTACTTTTAATATTGCGAAAAGGATGCCATTAATAATAAGAACAAAATGGTTAGCTGGTTTTAACGGAGGTGATGCATTTTGGCTATTTCAGCTCTGCTGTTGTAGAGGGTCAAAGAC